CCGACAGAAAGTTATTTAATTTGGAACAATCTGACCGAGAGTAGACGGGCATAGAAACAGAGAGGTCATCAGCATACTTAACAAAAGTGGCTATATCAGAATGAGGCAAGTCATGCAAGAAAAACGAAAACAGAAAGGGAGAAAGAACAGCACCTTAAGGAACACCAGCTTAAGTAAGTGAGGTAGTGGAGGACTTTCCATTGTAGACGATGTACTGCTTCCTATCAGAAAAATAGGAATGCAACCACTTATTTGTCCAGCTCTCAGCCTGTGTTGCAGCAAGCTTACCTAGCAAGAGAGACCTAGGTACATAGTCGAATGCAGATGAGTAATCAAGGAAGGCACACCGAACGTATTTAGCTCATCTAAACTAGAGACTATATTATGATGTAGGGCAATAGCGGTATCTAAGGTATACCTACTATGTTTATAAGCAAACTAGTTGGGGTCATTGAAAGCTTTTAAGAGGGTTCAAGATTAAGTAAAATAAGTCTTTCAAAAGGTGAGGTGATAGCAATGGGTCTAACCTTAACATTAGGTTCACTTGTTGATTTAGGCAGTGGAACAATCTTGATATTTTTTCCATGAGACAGGTATAATACTTTTGGAAAACTATTCGTTGAAAATGTCGGTAAATGGGGAACATAAGATGTCAGCACACTTCTTAAGGATAACAGCAGGAACTCCATCGGAACCAAGGGACTGAGTAGGTTTGAGAGATTGAAGACACTTAAGGACATCATTCGTATTAAAGCATGAGAAGCAGTCATTATTTACACTATTAGAGTTAGGAATCATAACATCTGCAGGGATGCATATGAAGGATTTATTAAGCATATCAACATCGACAGAAGTATCATTCATTATTTGCTTACCACCTGTGATTTCTTTTAATAACTTTCACATATTTGATGGGGATTTACATGAAAGAAACTTCAGCTTTAATCACAGTGTTCATTCTCTTAACACCAGATTTATTTTTCATTTTGTACAACCTCTCTTTTTCACGGCGAGGCTTTTTGAGTTGAGAAGAGGAGAAGCGGTCGAATTTTCAGAAGATTGTCTCTTTTGGACAACAAACATCAAGACAGAAATTAAGATAATGTGTTATGTTGGTAATTGTGTCATCAAGAGCTTGTTCAGTAAATAAGTCCCAGTTTGTGTCTTTTAACATGGTCCTTAGATTCTCTATGTTGTCATGAGAATAACATCTGTGTTGTATTTTCTTTCCAAGGTATGAGAAGACCCTTTTGTGCAGCTTTCCATATACTTTGGGCAATATTCTTATGATACAGTGATCAGAATTGAGTAGTGGGGCTCTTTTTCGAGCTTCAAATATTCCTGTCATCTGTAAACACAAGATCAAGAGTATTATCTAGTGGAGTCGGAAAGTTGACAATGTTTTGATGTCCAAGTAAAATAAGAAAGCTGTAGTCACTAGAATTGAAGTCTCCAGTAACTATAGACAAGGAGTTTCCGAAGGAGGTGGCAGCAAGGGAGGTAAATTCATCTGCAAATAAAGACAATTCTGTGGAATTGCATTCAGGAGCAATATAAATGTTCGAGATGTATATGTAGTTATATTTTGACGTGTTTAGGTCGACAGTTAACGGTGAGGCAGTCAATATTGTCACTAGAGAATGTGAAACATACATTATTAGATGTATACCATGTATACCATGAAGATGGCGACACCGCCACCGCGAATCTTCCTAGAACTACACTGATCTTGTCTGAATAATTTGAAATCATTCAGATACACATGGTTGTCATCATATAGATCATGTAGCCATGTTTCTTGAAGTGATATAGGGAAAAACTATTCCCTTCTGGAATCGGAGAGGTGAAATGATGTGGACTGGGGAAAGCTTTCAGAAGACTGGTTAGCCGATGTGTCTTCTCTCCATGAAAGCGAAAAGAAATATTGGGACATGAAAAGTCTGCACGATTTTATCCATATCAAAAATTCAATTAAGTTGTATTTTCACTGTTTAATTTATGTAGTGCCATAAAATATGTTTTTGCTCATAAATTCGTTTTCATTTCTATTAATTTTTAAATGTACTCATGAATGTTAAGTTCTTACACAAAACCTCTGTATTCAAATTAATAAAATAAGACAGAGAGGTCTCTAAAGGACTTTCAAAAATAAGGTTTTCCACTTTTTAAGACATAGACTGAAACGCTTTGTTAATGCAATCTTCTTATATATAGAGAGAAATAAAGTGGAATTTTGAATGATAATTAAAAAAAATTTCATCTTATGTGGAATTAAAGTCAAGACTTTGCAGGATGTTCGCATTTTTACTTATAAATAAGGAGTAATCTACTCATTGGATAGTCTGACTACTAAACATTCTTCAGAATTCGCGTTTTATAAAGATGCTTTTAATTACTATTTTGTCATACTCTCTCTCTGCTGTTGTTTATCTAGGTTTATTTGAATAATATATGAGATGGGTGTATTCCCTTATCAGCTGCATTTCATGTCTTCTGCAACCAAAAAACTCCTAGCTGAGTGCGGGATAAATCTTAGTTATTATTGAATTCATTTTGCACTTTTCCACTGACTGAATCAAATAATAACTGGTACTTGTTGCATAAGAAGTGGCTTTAGTGACCCAAGTGGTTAGTGGATAACACTTTGGCATTGAAACCTATGGGTACTGGGTTACAGCCTCAGTGGGAGCATCATCACTCCTCGAGGAGTACAAGCATTCTTCTAACTAGTCCCAGATATGACGAAATGCGCATCCTGGATTCCACTGTTAGTTACCGCCCACCAAATCAAGTGTTAGTTTGCTGCAAAAAATGTGTTATTATTATTTTTCATATAAACGCTGTTCATATTGTTAAGCTTTAAGTAAAGCAAAAATATAATTCGATAATCAGTCTGAGCCTTCAGTTCATATACTTGCTTGAATATAAAGTAAGTGAGATAAAAGGATTTTCCTGACCTTTCAAATATTTTCACGTCATCTGAAACTCACAAGACTCTTCAAAAATATTCTAGTACTGATTATGCAGCACTATGAGTCATCATTGGACAGAAGAAAGAATGGTAACGAGATCTCTACCTCAACTTAATCGAATTGGGAAAGACGTTTGGTAGAGCGAACCGTTAGGCACTTTAGAAACTGCTGCAATACTATGGAGTGTAATTGACTAACATTTGAGAACTTCATTGAGAATCTGTGTGATGATACTACGTGCGAAGTGATTCACAAAGGAAAGCTGAGTGAATATTCTGAAGTTCAGGTAGGAATAAAACAAGCCTGCCTACTATCACACATGACATTCATGATTGTGTTGGTTAGGACCATGTGATAGACAGTAGCAGTCGAGAAGACGGACATAAGTTGAACAGGAGAAAAGACTTTGGAGGATTTGGGTTTCGTAGATGATTTATGTATCATGTTTCATGAACTCAAAGGTCTCGATCCAAAAACCGACAAACTGAATGAAGAAGCAGTAAGAATAGGACTTCAGGTAGACATAGAAGAGACAGAGTTGATGGAGATGCTCGAGCGTCAACAACAACAACAAACTCCAGTCACTATCGACGAGAGAAGTCGTTAGGTATTTGTCCCTCTCTCTTGCGTCTTCCTGAGCTGCACACTATTGTCTCAAGTACAGGCGACAGATATGAGGATGTTAAAACTAACCAGAATCGGGGATGCTTAGCCAGCGTTCGGTGCTTTGAAAACAGTGTGGATTTCTACAACAATTACCTTACGAAACAAGATCTAATTTTTTGACACTAAAGCTACAGATTTCATCATCAGCTATCTCCGCTGGATATTGAAGATCATACGGCCGGCTGATGGAAAAGGATAAGGAAGGAACTGTCAGCGAACCAAACAAGGAACTCAACTAAGAAGTAGGTAAAGAGTTGGAGGTGGGTCTGAGGGTGACATGGTGAAGACGATGTGAGAAGAAGTGAAAGGTTATGTGCGATCATATAGCCAGCTAAAATGGAATGCAGAAAATATCGAGATGTACTGATATAACCTCATTTTCGACTCGGAATCTGCGAGATGTATAGTAATAAAGATAATAACAGTCTATGTGACGTTCACTGGATAAATCTGGGTTCAAACACAACATCCACTGATTAAGATATAAAAGGTTAAACCAACAAGGCACAGTAAGTTTTTCAATGTTTTTTTGTCAATGATTTTCCAAAGATGTACAGTATTCGACTTTTCACCATGCTCTAAAATCATCAGAAGGTTTTATGAAATACACTAGTTTATTCAACTGATTGATAAGATGAGAAAGCTAAAGCTTAAATTCTTTTCTGCTGTACTATTCTTCAGTCGAATACTTCTCGTCATATTTATTAACACTTATATTTATTGTTAGAAATTACACAGTATGCTTTAAATTATGAATTTGTTGCTTATTATGTGATTACAGAATATCAACATTCAACATGCGTCACATTTCTCATCTAAAGACAGAAAAGATTACTCTCTCCTAAATGGCCTCATATTTTCGGAAGACTTCATTATGAATAATTTCTTCAGTGCATTTCAGTAAGTTTCTTGAACCTGGTCAGTCTAGTTTACTAGCCAGCGGTAAGCCCTAAAAATAGAAGAGGTTTCGAATGAATCTAGCAGTTGCATACCGTAATTACAAAACAACTGCTACTGAAAATTCAAAAGCTTTGAAACCCATCATGCTATGTGAACGCATGGAATAAAAAGTTGTCATAAGTAGTGTTTCATTTAGCATAAATTTGAAGTGATAATCTATCCCGAATTTGAATTCTTCAATGTCACTTATGGACTTCAGATAATTTACAAGTCAGAATTTAGTGGTGTGTTCTATTCTAATAAACATCTTTTGTCCACAGTTCTAAACATTTTCCCATCTTGGTAAACTGTATACAAAGTAAAGACAATTTAATGAGATTTACACAACAGATCAAGAAACCTTAAAGGAGAAATTGAAAATACTACACAACTTTAAGTTAAGTCTATCTATTGCTTTGATCGTTTACGGTGAATAAAAATAATAGATACTTCTATTTCATTTCCATTTCAGCTTTTGTTTTACAATAAGGCTACTGATGAATAGTATTTCTCTAAGCTGAATAAAAATATTCGTAAAAATCATTGAATCAATTTCCCTGTCCGTCTAACATTCACAAAGACAGATATTATAGGTGTTAACCATTGGTATGAAAACACACACGTGTGCATGTGTGTACATACACACGAAGCAGCATTAGTAGTATATATGCGTCCTGTTCAACCTTTAAATCGAATACTTTCGAAATAACTAGGTGACGTTACTACGACTGTTGTCTTTCATTGTTGTGAGGGGAATAGTTTTCAAGTGTGAAATGACTTTCTTTATTTGATTTCAGTGAATTAGTTAACAGTATGGCTGGATAATGTTGGAGTGAATATTTAATGTTTACAAGAAATAATATTTCTATTCGAATGAACAATAAACTGTTGAAAATGTTCCTACAGTTAATTATTAAATGATTTATCTAAGTGAATATTTGCCAAGATTGCTAAATCATCACAAAATACATTAATGCATTATATTCCTTACAAATGGATAAAATAAATTCTTGTACTAGGCATATAAATTTAAGAAATCTTCTTTTCTCAATATTATACTTGTCAATAGCCGCACTGAATTTTTTAGATAGCTTTTATATAACGTGTGAAAACCCGATACAACTTATTAACTATGATACACTTCCTCATGAAACAAATGAAAATAACACTTTTCACCGGAAGCAGAAAATCATCCTAACCAATAACTTTCAGTGTGAAAACATACTTATCACCTATTGTACAGAGATATTTGGCAGTCTAATCAACTTTGTTGCAGCTAGTCTATATTTTACTACAAATCTGCATAGATTATTAATATTTAGTAATTCAAAGCAGCAGCAGCAGCAGAAGAAGAAGCTGAAATCATGTCCATTTCCAAGCCGTTATCTATCTACTGATGATCGAATCTCTTCACACGCATACTTTGAATTTTCAAGTCTACTGGCTGTTGTAGCTGGCATCTCTGGTTGTCTAATGATAATGACAACAACAGGTTTGAGAACTTATAAAGTGTTCATTTCTGATACAAGTAAAAGTTTTCCATTTGTTTCCAACTCGAATGCTACTCAATGGTATGTGGATTCAACAATGGAGAAACTCAAGCATACAAGCCGAATACTTTTGATTTTTGGATTATTTGTGATAAATATTTATGGATTGTGTTTGTCTAGTGGATATCCATGCAAATGGAATAAACTACAGTCTGATGAGCAGCTTGTTGAGAAGAATAGTTTCACAGATTCATTGGTCAATAGAAGGAAAGATCTACTATTTTGTTCTCATTTGACCCGTTTGATCTCATTATTGTCTTCTATATTAATAATTTCTGGTGGTCTAACTATACTTGGAAGTGTTTTGGAATCTGTTCAGTTATCCTACTTATTTTCAAATCTTTCTACTCCGGTAAGATTAAAAGTAAGAGAGATATTTTGTTTCTTCAATGGTAGTTCAAATATTATCACTGGTTTATTGTCTATTATTACCCTACAATGTTGTTCAATTCCCCTAGATAGTGTATTCAGAAGAGAACACTCTGTGTCGAAACTAAATAATTTCATTAGTGCTAAACATCGTTTACATTGTCCAACACATTTAATTGCACTTATTTCATGTTATATATCTATACCAGTACAGATCAGTTGTTTTTTAATTACTAAACTCGATACTTTTGTATTAAAAGTTAACAAATCTAATCATCAATTGAATATTAAAATAGAAAATTCACTAAAACTATTTCATCAGGGATTTGCTTTAAATTGTTTTTCCGGTTTAATTTCACTTCCTTTACTGTTTTTATTATTGGCTTGCATATTAATAGACTTATATGTACGTAACAAGCTTACATTCCTGTCATATATTACATCTAAAAATATTTTACAAATTGACAATCATAACTGCGATTCGAGGAAGTGTTTGGAAAATGATAAACTGCAATATTTCTCACCTAATAAAGACAATAATAATAATAATCAGAATTGTCAAACAAGAGTATCTTGTACACATTATTTACATTTACCGCTTCAACGAAATTTAAGACCATATAGTGAAAATGATACAATAAAACTTAGAAATTGTACAAATAGTGGATTAAATCAAAAATTATTATTAGTATCACCATCATCACCGTTATGTTCTTATCCTGAAGATCCATATTGTACAAGATCATCAGTTATGCCGAATTTCGATAACAATGAAAATATATGTATGCCTTATAGAACTTCATGCATCCAACCATCAAACAGTTTAAATCCAGCTTATCTTGAACTTGATTCAATTCGTCAAGACAATTCAACAATTAAAGCAATAAAAAGCAATGAAATAAATTTGAATCCAAATTATTTAAGTCAAGTTGTCTATCGTTGTTCACCAGATACTCCTCACTTAATATATCATTCATTCAATGAACAACAACAGTTTGCACATAGATATCCCACTGAAGCATGTGAATACATGAGTTGTGATTTACAACAACAACAACAGCAACCCTTGGTTACATTAATTCATCCTGAGGTTAACAAAGAAATTCATAATTTTAGTAATTTAACAACCAGTGAATTACTAAAACTGTTTACTGATACAACGGGTGAGGATTTCATTACATCAGTTTAAACAAAATACGTTACCGTCTTGTAAATTCACTAAAATATTCAACGTATAAGCCAGAATTCGGCTTTTATCCATTTATTGCATGCCAACTGTATAATAATAGGGAAAATCTGTCATTCATTTCTACATATATTTGCTGTGCTTTTTGTTACTTTGCGAATAAAGAATGTTTTCCCTCTAAACGACTTTTGATTTTAAATCTGATAGATTATATTAAATTAAAAGGTTACAGAGACTGACTGACTTCGAAGTGAAGAGATTTCGGCAAGCATAAATATTTATAGGCATAAAAAGAACGTAAACACCACAGCCATCAGTAGAATGTGGAAACAACTTTTGGACAGTGACTATTAGTGGAGTGGAGTAAATTAGTTACACTCTACCAAGAGTTCATCAGCTTGATTAACTGGTAATCTAGTAACTGGTAGTGTAACGACAGAAAAAAAACAGTATTTGGCGGCAAATTGATGAACGGTTATGGTGGAATGCGAAAACCTTCCACTGAAATCTTCATCTGCTTTGTATTTTGCTTCTTTTATCCTCCCCTTTCATGCTTTCTGTACTGCTTTCATTTCTCCTGATCGCAGCTTAATACGTCGCTCCACTATTCAATATTCCTGCTCACAATATACTAATAACAAAATCATATCAGTAAAACACACCCCGTAGTTTTTTCGCTGATATTTAAATTTCTTCTTAGAAAACACGAGTGACATATTGTTGACGTTCAGGTAAGCAAGTTTTGTAGGCGTGGAATTTCGGAACACTAAGTTTCGATCATTATATCTAATATATTGGATGTTGTTTTGTACGCTGACAGTCAAAATCTTGATGAGCAGCAGAATCAAAACTACTTTCACAAATAAGACTTCCAAACAGTGGCTTACAGGATTATGACGGATGGATTAACTGCAACGGATTATACTTTAGATAGCTAGATTTGAACCAATGAAAATGAGACATTACTCTTTTACGTAAGCAAACATTTTCTCATATGTTCTGCATTACAAATATTGTGTTTGTCTAAGACAGCATATATTTATGAAATATGAATTAACATTGACGTTGTTTTTTAAATAACCATCAGCACTTAGAAAAACATTCAACAGTTAGTTTCTTATCTTAAATTATAGTATGCTGTCTATACTGGTCATTGTACACGCATGGATTCGTATTGTTTTAAACAATGATGAAAACTCTTTTTTTCATTTTTCACTTAGAATAAACATTTAATTTATGTGCTGACACATATTAAACTTATAATATGGAAAGTATTCTGAATATAACCGATGAATATCAAGACTGAACAGGACAGATCAATGTTGATAATAATGTGTTGTTTTACGACTGCAATTTTGCTTGAATGAATTCAAGAGTACTCTGTGGATTGATTGCTTGATCTTGGAGTGTCTATGGGAAGCATGTTTTATTCTGTTTCATTCTTGCAGAGTGGTGATCACATCTCGTCTGGAATACTTTTGTTAGTTCTCATGTATTTTACGATTTTATTTGGCTAAAAACTTTGTTGTATGGAAAGTATTTTGTAGCTGAGACACTTTTGAACTGTATGGCTAACGAACCGCACTGCTGAGATAGTTTTGTGTTTTTCGTATAAGTTATTATTGTTGAAAAGTACCACAGGTTCTATCAATTTAAACCATATTTTATATCGTTGGAATATAATTTCTGACTGTGAGTGACTCGTAGAAATTCTGCAGGCTATGCAGAAGAAGTCATTTATTGGTTTCTTGCATTCAGAAAGGAATACTTGAGTTCCACTGACCACATTATAATGAGATCTTACTTCAGTGAATATACAAAAAGACAGATAACAGAGTCATTACGAGAAATAAAAGTTGTTAAGCTGTTGCTGTTAATTCATAATCCATTAGCATTTAGAGGGAGTGAGAACGAAATTGCGCTGAATGTGAGACACAGCAGTAAAACTATTTGAATTTGGTACCAGTTGCTTTGAAAGTTACAAAATCTTATAATTTCGTTTTGCTGATAACTTTGTGATTTTGAAAAACTTGGTTGTCATTCTAAAGCACAATCTGAAGCCAAATTTATTATATTAACACAGTCATTCATGACTGGCATCTTTCATTCTTTAGTCGAAACTATCATTGATGTATATACTATGAAATAGAGTCTAACATTATTCAAAATCAAAAATCACAGATGTAGATTTCAGTTATGCTTATTCCTGATGTCGAGGTTGTTGGTCGGATGTAACACTGAAATAAAATCTCAAAGTAGTAGGTAGAATAAAGTTATACCTTTTAGGAAATACTCTTTAACATGGTGAAAGTTCAGAAGAAGAATGGAACACTGAATATTAGGCAACCAAGCATACAAAATACAAGTTACCAGCAGAGATCACATAAACTGCTTACCATGATATTTTAGCTGGTAATTGGTCAGGCATAACTAACCAATTTGCGTGACAATATTTAACAACCATGTGAAACACATAAGACATCAGGGCATGAATTTATGCTTGCGAGTATATTTCAGGTTGTTCACTTTGTGTTTATGAAAAAGTTATTCTTCACAAAATGAAATGAGAAACTGTAAAGCTCACAAAATATTTTCTGTTTTACATCTTTATAATTATGTTTTGTTTCCTTTCAGATGACAAGAATAGAAGTAAGTAACATGTAGGGAGGAAGTACGACTGAAGCCGAGTTTTGGTATGATAAGAGTTTTTAATTCTGTCAGCAACAGATACTTGAATATTTATGCTGAAATTAATTTTCTGATCCAAACTAGATCGATTTCCGACACTCTTTAACCAGCATTACGTTTTCTAATTCACGCGTACCTGCCTACTAGGATTATGGAACATATGCCGAAGAGGTTGTATGCTACAGATTCAGCTTCGTTTAAAAGCTGATACAGAACACTGAATAAACATATTGGAATATTTTAAGGTGGTGAGCAGGCAAAGCACTTCATGATTACTTCGAATTAATGAAGCTGCCCTCTCTGAATAGTGAAGAGAGGATTATGTGTTCAAAAACCTTGATACCTTGATAAGTTCCGATTGCTTCACTTCAACTATTGGAAACTTAATTCCATTTCTATTACGCAATTTGGCGTTTAAACCTATCAAAATTCGTAAAAACTCTAATTAATACCTATGTTATCAGTGAACATCATCTATTTTACTGGTTCACTAGTTTACTAGCGGACCTAAGTCCGGCTAAAGAGGGAAGCTTAGGCGTGCGGTCATCATCACGCGTCGGGCTCTCAGTTGGAACCTGAATGGGAAACGACGAGTTGGATGTCCCAGGGTTACATAAGGAAGATAGAGGCTTATAAGCATTCATGCTGTTAGCTGAAAGGGACTTACAAGAGAGAACAGAAGTGTGTCGTTGAATCCCTATGTTCCGCTCGGAACCCAAGTGAATAATAATGATTAGTAATAAAATCCATCCCTAGATAATGGTTTGAGCCCGCGTCTGGCCCTCTTCTGGTTTCTGTATCCAGCAGATTGAGTCTCTGCCTTGTTGAGATTGAAGTAAAATCTACCAAATTTTTGTTGTGTCTTTCTGATGAAACCCATGCACTTGGGTGCATTTCCTTATGTCTGTACACTCTACCACTAATCATCAAATCACTGAATGTACAGAAGTCTGCAAAGCGTTGTTCATTCTCATTTATTGCACCAAGCACCTCTCGAACTATGATGAGTTCTGTTTTTGTGTTGTCTGCCCGCTGTTCAACATTCACATCTCCTGATCAGCATTTGGATGTTGCCATCTAACTTGGGTCATGTCCATTACTGTTTGCCGTTGTCTGTAGAATTCTCACTTCTTCTCTTGGTTTACGTCATTTCTGGGAATATAACATTAGAAAATTTGCAGCAATTTTACCTTTTGGGCTGGATTTTGCTGTCATTATCTTGAAGGAAATTGGTTGCTACTGCATAAGAGCTTTAAATACTGTTGATGACTTCGCGATACTCACTGCCTCAGTGTGTTCATAACTCTCTGCCTGGAGAGTGGTATAGATGATTGATTTTTCAGTTAATCATTTATAGAGTCCACTTACATTCCAACTGCTATCGCAGATTCCATGCACTTCTGTACTGTATTTTCTCACTTATTTTTCAATTTGATTAGTCTTCCAAGCTTCGGACGTTGTGAGAACATTCCATAATCCCAAGCTTATATTTGCTCTCATTGAAAGAAAACACGTCGGCCTACTGTCTTCCCGAAGGCTTTCACAAGCCAGCAGGATCTTGTTTTCCTGATTCTGAACTTTTGCTGTGTTTTGAATTTTTTGTAATGATTAGATTGATCTTCCAGGGACAGGTTTCTAGCCCCACGCCCAAACTTCTTTCTCTTTCTGGGTCTATGAGAAACTAGTAAACTAGGTGAGGTTATGAATAATAAGAATAGTATAAGCAATCCAAATCGTGGGAAAGTTACATTCTTCAGAAAATAGATATAATAAATATCTGTGGAAAACGAGGTTTTCAAATCACAGTGGATATATGCCTATGGGAAATTGGATAGTAACTCTGTTTTATAAACCTCTTATCAGAAAAGTCTTACTCCCAAATATAATTTCCTAATAACCATTAATCACAAAGCAAATTTTAGTCAATAACCGTGAACACATATATTGCAATCACCTAATTCTTTAGTTAAGTTGCAGCAGTTTGGTAGTTATTTCGTAATAGTTTTGTACATTAAAATGTTAATATGCTTTCCGAAATCTCAGCTCTTTAATAAATCCATACTTGTGTATTCACTCGTTTACCCACAAAGAGCATTTATTAAGATCCTGATTAACATATCAATATACGGAAGAAATTTAATGCTGCTTATTAGAATCAGGATAAGTGTGTGAATAAAGTTTGTACAAGTACAATATCATAGAGGCATATATTTCAAATTTTATGATGAAGATATCCTGCGCTTATTTAGAAATTCTGTTTTATTTCGAAATTTAATTCTTTTAGTGGATATGTTTCTTCACAAAAATTAATCATCTATACCACACCAGTATCAATGAACTCTAAGGCTTTACTAATTATGATTCATCGAGTCTGTTGGATTTTGGCTGAAATCAAGCAGAAAAACAACTACTGGAACAGTTTACAGATCGTTCATTTAGTAAAAATACCATGATCTTTGCTTAACATATTTTGCACAATATTTTCATTAAAATTGTAAATTCACATCATCAAAAAAATATTCATTAACTTCCTTTAGCATTTTTTTACTTTTCTTACTTTTTGTGGTGTTTTGAAAAAGGCGACCGGTTTCTCTTGCTACAACTTACACCAGTGATTCAAGTGTTCACACTGACTTCGGCTAACATCGCACCACACACTGTTCAAAGACATTCTTTTCAGTGGCATAATTCATATGATATTCTACATAGTGGACAATATACTGAATCCTTCTTGCTAAAAACAACAAGGGTCTGTGTACTAATTTTCCAGTGAAATTCGGTATTTACTGAGCCTCACCATTTGTGGGTATAAACAGGGTAATAAGAAAGGCAGTCATTGTTGTATTGAGAGGTTTTATTCAGTTATTATGGTTAACAAGGAGTGCGGTTGCGATGAACCATCAACTAACACATCAACTCTGATATGTCATGCTTAGGGT